ATTATGCTGCCTTGCCTGTCGGAAAAGGACCTGGGGGTGCTGGTCGACAGCCGGCTGAACATGAGCCGGCAGTGTGCCCAGGCGGCCAAGAAGGCCAATGGCATCCTGGCCTGCATCAGAAATAGTGTGGCCAGCAGGAGTAGGGAAGTGATCGTGCCCCTGTACTCGGCACTGGTGAGGCCGCACCTCGAATACTGTGTTCAGTTTTGGGCCCCTCACTACAAGAAGGACATCGAGGTGCTGGAGCGTGTCCAGAGAAGGGCAACGAGGCTGGTGAGGGGTCTGGAGAACAAGTCTTATGAGGAGCGGCTGAGGGAACTGGGGTTGTTTAGCCTGGAGAAAAGGAGGCTGAGGGGAGACCTCATCGCTCTCTACAACTCCCTGACAGGAGGTTGTAGCGAGGTGGGGGTCGGTCTCTTCTCCCAAGTAACAAGCGATAGGATGAGAGGAAATGGCCTCAAGCTGTGCCAGGGGAGGTTTAGATTGGACGTGAGGAAAAATGTCTTTACTGAAAGAGTGGTGAAACATTGGAACAGGCTGCCCAGGGAAGTGGTTGAGTCCCCATCCCTGGAGGTATTTAAAAGACGAGTAGATGAGGCACTTAGGGACATGGTTTAGTGGGCATGGTGGTGTTGGGTTGACGGTTGGACTCGATGATCTTAGAGGTCTTTTCCAACCTTAATGATTCTATGATTCTATGATTACTGGGGGTACACTAGGGCTGGGGTCTGGGGGCAGTGGCATGCTGTCACTGGTGGCGATTTCAGCCCACCAGCTCTGCGCTGGCTGCTCTGATTTCTAAATTCAGCCCCCAAAACCCTCGCGGCCTCGGTGGTGCCTCAAAGCTCCTCTCGGGTCAAGTCTGCCACAGGGCGGGGGACAGGAAACCGCTCACCACACCCTGCCCTCACCAAACCTTCACGCCGAGCAAAGACTTAAACTCTGCATTAAAGAAAGTAAATAAATAAAAGCACCAGTCCACAGCTCCCCCCAGGGCTGTGGGACGAGCAGAGGTGAGTTGTGTTCCTGGCTCAGCCGGCCTGGGAAAGCAAACTCTGGTGACACCGAAACGCTCGCAGGGCAGCTCAGGCTGCTCCGGGGGCCGGGGAGCTGCTCAGTGCAGCTGCGCCGGTGCCTCTTTCCTGCCGCTCTTAAACGCAATTAATACAGCGGAATAACCTGGTTTCTTCCTAAGGATTAGGCTAAGAAAACAAGATGGTTTTAATAGCCCTTCTACATCCTACATAGATTTTAGCTGAAAAACCTAACTGGTTTGGCAGCGCAGCCAAATGGCACATCTTTTCTTTTTCTTTTTTTCCCCGTTTTTTCCCCTATAACCTGATGCCAGCGATCCTGTGCGAGCGGGCTCCTACCGATAATTCAAGTGCCCAGCTCCTGGCTGTGCTGTTTTGTCCGATTTTCATTGCCTCCTGACCTCCATCCTTCTTTATTTGCAAAGCTATACTTGCAGGCAGCGGTAATAAATCAATTAATGACTCTGATGAATCGTTTAATGGCTGACAAAATAACACTACAGTCAACAGCTTGGATCTCTACAGCAGTACCAGAAGACGCTGGTTGACTCAGGGTAGGGAGACGAAACAGAGACTGTTAGCTCAATTAGTGCAATTAGTGTGCGATTTAAAGGCTTAGACGGCATCTGCTGGCGTACCGAGCCGGTGTGTTAACTGAGAGCTTTGGTTTGGAAGTGAAACACAGTGATCCAGATTGTCATCGCTCCGCTTGTTTCCACCAAAAAAGGGGAAAAATCCAACGCGGGGAAAAAAAAATTACATATGTATATATGTATGTGTGTGTGTGTGTGTGTATATATATATATATATATGCGTGCCCCAGGAACTGCATTTTGTTTCCAGCATGGAGCAAATTTACCATCTAAAAAAAGGCAAACGAGCCAGCATGCTGGCTGTGCCAGAGCTGTCCTTGCTCATCCCCAGCAGCGGTCCCCAGCGTGCTTTGGTGGAAGGAGATTTAGGGCGTCGCATGCCGACAGGGACCTTCGTGTGGCTGGACAGGCTTTCGGTTTAGCACCAGCTTGGATGCGGTGGCACAGCGGGCGTCGTGCTCCTGCACCACGCTGGCACTGCCCGTCTCCTGCATGCCGCTTCGGCATCTCTACCTTGCCCGTATGTGCACCGGGGGGGCTTGGGGGCACTTAGATATTCACCTGGTGAAACAGGCTTGGCAGGCAAACTCCAGCCAAAATCTCTGAAGTCCCTAAAAAGAGTTTCTTAACCAAAATGGTGAAATTAAGCTGGGTGGGGGGAGCTGGGAGGACAAAAATTCCTGGTTTTCTGGAAATTGGTGCTGCAAAGCCCTTGGGGTTTGGGTGCTCACTCTTGGGGTTTGGGTGCTCACCCTCAGGGTTTGGGTGCTCACCTTTAGTGTTTGGGAAATGTGTTCCCGCTGTCTTTTTTTCTCCTTTTTCTTCCTTTTCTGGCACATCCCCAGGGTTTTGCAGAGGTGCTCCAGCCGCGGCTGTGTTCCCATCGCTTCGGCAGGGCTAAAGGTGCCTCAGTGTTTACCTTAGCAGCAGTGATGGGGAGGGGAATAAAAAAGAAATAAAATGTCACTTCGCAGCCTTGTAAATCATTCATCAAGGGCTGACCAATTTGGCTCCCATCCTGCAATATGCTCAGGGCACTTGTGGGTTTTTAATTACCGAGTTCTGCCAAGCGCCACATGTGCGAGGAACTTTAAATCCCCGTTTAAGCTGCGAAGGCATAGGTGAGGTTTCGGGGTGTTTAGCGCGGAAAAATACTCCGTGGTTTTGTGGAAAAACGGGCATTTGGCTTCAAGATTTTCTTTGGCTGCCTTGCCCTCCTCCCTCCACTCCCTGTTGCAGAGGGAAGGAGGAGGGCAGCGTACTTTCCCCCTGGATCCCATCCTCACTCCCCACCACTTTGGGATCTGTTTTGCTTTGGGAGATTCCCCCAGCAAAGGATTATGGTGTGCTGGAAATCTCTTGAAACCATAAAATACCACCTTGGCAGCTTTATTGCAGCGCTCGCCGCCTTGGGAGAGAAGCATTTTGCGTGATAGAGGGTTTAATAAAGGAAATTCCAAATGGGCTCGCTGCAGTTTGGGGCTTGGTCTTATATATTTTTGCATTAAGAACCGTCATCTGCTTTGCAGAGAAACTGCAATATGTTCATGGCCTTGGATTAAGATTTGGTTTTACTTTTATAGCTGACCCACTTGGGGGGATGGAGGGAGGGGAAGAACTGGGTTCACTCCCTCTCCCGTCTATTTTTGCTGCCGTCTGATGTATAAAAAGAGCCTGGAATGGGCAGGCTTATTTTTCCTGCCAGGACTTTTTTTTATTAACTGTAAAAACACTCAGATCTGGCCTTTGCTGTTGATGTGAGGAAAGCTGCTCGACATGCCTTGTTCAGGGGAACGGCGGGAGCATGGCATGGACTGTGCCTGGGGGCACAGAACCCCATAGCCTCAGGGGTACACCGGTTATTTCACGAAGGGGGTCTCTTTTTGGGGAATCAGCCTGCGCTGTCGTCTCTGGCGCTTGCAGCTCTGAGATGCTGGGGTGGGAAGAGCAACCACTGGACTGGTGTGGTCCTGGCCTTCATCCCGCATCCTGCACGCCAGCTCCTGCCGGAGAGCGTGATGGAGGGGGCACAAGGGATGGCCCCTGGGAAGGCACAAGGCAGCAGTTAGCCTGATGCTGTCCTGCCTCTGCAAGGCTTTCTGGTCCAGAATAGTGAGATTCCCAACCAGACATTGGGATCCCACCTTGGCAAGCCTTAGTCCTTAATAATAATCCTTAATTTTCCGGGCTACCCAAGTCCTGACACGCCGGCTTCCCCCCTCTGCTCATATCTTGCAGTTGTCGCTGCATCAGATGCAGTCGGGGGCCAGGGCTGGCTCGGCTGCTGTCGGGATGCGGGGTTTGGTGGGGTTGGGGTGCCCCAAGCTTTGGGGTAAAACCAAGCCTGAGCAGGCTCACATGTACCCCATCTGCCTGTGGGGTTTTCTTGGTGGAAAATTCTTCTACCAATTTTTTCATGGTGGACGATTTTCCTTGGCCCTGGTATGTGGTTTTAGGTGGGTAAGTCCATCGTAAAAATTTGTGGAGGGAGTTCAGTGATCCAAACCCAATTAATATCACTGAGGCTCCCTTGTAACTGCCCTGGGAATGGGGGTTCATTTGGTGATGGGTAAAGGAGAGTGCACTTCAATGACACAGGTGCCGCTCCTAACCCAGCAAGGATGCGTTGCCAGCAGTAGTCTTTAGGGAAAGATCTTTTTCTTACCATTTTCCTGCTGGGTAGGAGCCTCCCATCACACTGGTGCTTTCCCAGCGCTGCCAGCTCCGCAGCGCAGTGAGAAAGTAAATACGAATAGAGATGCTGAGCAGGAGCGAGCGGGGTGTCCGGGTACCCTGTGTCCACCCCCGTCCCTCCTTTTCGGGGCTGGAGCTGCTCAGGTGGCTCATTCTGGGGAGGTGTGAGCAGGGAGCATGACCCACAGATCGGGTGCAATGAATTTGGAAATTCATAATAAAACCTTGGCGTACTGGTGAGGTCAGGGAAGCATTCTTTTCGAAGGACAGAACCGAACCGGCAAGTGCACAGGGGGAGGTGGGGTAAGAAAAGCATTTAAAAAGCCCCAAAACAGCTTCTGCCTGAAGTGACGCGTTGGATGAGGCTCCTCAGTGGATTAACGAGACTAAATGCCTGGGTAAATGAATAAATAAGCCCCAGAATGATCCCCGGTTTTTGTGCGGCCATCTTCTCCATGGGTGAATTGCAGAGGCCGGTGCCCCTCCAGCTCCAAGCATCCTCTGCTTGTTCCCCCATAGGGGGAAGATGCTCGGAGCATGAGAAGCGATGCTCAGGGCTCTGGAGGTAACACACTAATTGGCTCAATGTGGTTTGGCAGGGGAGACGGCTTTTTTAATGTGTTTTTTTCTTAACTCCAACTCAAACCCAATGTGTTTGTCCTGGTTTTGTTCCCCGCAGAGCGCAGCTGCCGCCCCGAGTCCCGTGCTTGGAAACATTCCCCCAAACGACGGGATGCCCGGGGGCCCCATCCCGCCCGGTTTCTTCCAGGTAGGCTGCCACTCCTCCTGATGCTCACCTCCACACTGTGCACGTGTTTGCTTACGCTCTGGGTGTCAGTGCTGTCGTGCCTGTGTTTTTTTCCAAAGGGATGCTAGGAAAGCAGCATGCCCGCGTAGCTGACCTGTCTAGGAATAACTCGTGTTCTGCTGTCCTTCCACGTTCGCTTTCTATTTTTTGTGGCCTTAAAGCAAATGTCTTTTCTTGCTCGAAGAGGTTACTGTGTATTTACAACCAATGTTTTTTTCCAAAGCTGCTTGGTTTGTGTTTGGGTTGGGATTGTATTTGTTCTCTGGTCCTAACAGACGTGCATAATTGAAAACATTCTGGATTTTGATTCCTGAAACTTTTCCCCCACACACTCTGGTTAACCGCTTGATTTTTTCCAAATGCAATCACTGAAAGCATTAACAAATGCTGGCTGAAGCTGCAGGCAGGAGCCGGCTCCAGCCAAGTCCCCGAATGCCGTGGAGGCACCTTGTAAGCAAATACCTAGCAAAGTCCCCAGAGTCCCCTCGCTCCTTCCTTCTCCCATGCCTAGCTCTGACCGAGGAGGGGGTAATGTATGTTTGGAGTGACGTTGATGGAAAGGATCTTGACAAGCACACAGAAAAGGAGTTTTCAAAACTTGAACCGTGGGGGGTTTTTGGGGTTTCTCTGGAATCTCTTTGCATGGCATGAGCCGTACTAGTTTGCAGCAGCATAAGCTCTCAGTGCATTAAAATCTTCCTTCTTGAGGAAGAAACACTTGTTCGTGTAACAAATGGGATAAGAGTTGAAAGGAATATTTGTTTTGGCAAGCTGCTTTTTTGTAATCTGGGCTTGTGATTTGTGTATGGGAGAACTTCTCGGGCAGTAGACAGGCGGACTCGATAAGGCGCTTGTGATTTATTGTGGCGATATCTGAGCCCGATATTGCCGTTTGCATGTGTATGGGAAGGGGGAAGGAGGGTCCTGTCTTTTTTTTTTAGAGAGATCCCATTTCCTGAACATGCTTCTGACAAAGTAAGAATATCCGATATTGATCAGGAACCCTAAAACAGGCAAATCTTGTAGCAGCGCTCAGTGGCACGGGGTGAAGCCAACAGCAGAGATGCTATCTCGCAGGTCATAGCTGCTGCCAGCAATTCGAGTGCCAAGCTGCTGCTTCCAGCAAATGTGTCTCCAAAAGTCCTGATCTCGCCCCGCAGCAAAGCTGACTGTCCTCTGGGGCTCCTGCTTCATGCAGAGCTGCGAGGGCTGCAAAACTGGCATGAAATTAGGGCAAGACTTCAACAGTATGGGTTGGCTTTTCCCAAGAGGGGAAGGTGGGGAAGAGGAGTCGCATCTCCCCAGACGTGCTGTGCATGCTCCCATCTTGAGTCTTCCCATTGACAGCCTCCAAGCTGTCCCCCCTGCTTTCCTTTCTGCCTTCCCATAGCATTTTTGCTCTCCGATTCAGGAGCAAACAACCCATCCCAGCTCCCTACCTCTTGAGTGGCTGGACCAGGAGCTGCTGGGGAAGGGGGGCTCAAGAGCAGCCCTGCTTTCTTAGGACCTTTGGTGAGGGGGTCCTGAAAACCCAGCAGAAGTAATGGCACCAGTGCAGGTATTGTGTGCGGGGATGCTGCCCGTCCCCAGAGCTGCCGGAGGGAAGAGAGGACGGGTGCCGATGCATATGGCTCACATGTGACATCTCAAGAGCCTGCCTTTCCTGAAAGCCCTCCAACATCTGGTTTCTCCTCCCAGCCCTGGGGATGGAGGGGAGGAGGGGAGAGGAAAAATCCCACCTTTTAACACAGTCTGAACATCACCCTCATGAAAGCCTGTCTGATTTATTGCGGGTGCTGGTGCTTGTTCCAGCTTCAGGAGATGCTGGAGACCAGCTCTTGCAGAGGTGGGCTCGTGGCTTGGCAGCAAGCCGGTCGCAGCTCGGGGTAATTTCTTATCTCTGTAGGAAATTAAAGTGCTGAACTTAAGAGGGCAAAACCAAAAAGGTCACAGGAGATGCAAAGGACTTCTCCCTGACTCTTGGCGTGCCAGCCGCGGGAGTGGGTGAGGTTCCTTGTGGTACCCCAGCCAGTGCCTTCCCTGTGCCAGGAGACTGGAGGATGGAGAGGGCTCGGGGGTTTCAGTATCTCACTCTTCTGCACCATACTGCAGGCACCAGGGAGCTGCAGGGATATCCCTAAGGATAGCAGGCATGGTTTTTTGAGAGGTTTTAGAGGGCCTGATCCTGTCCTGGCATGGTGGGGCATCACACCAGGAGCTGAGAAGGGAGTCACCAGCAAAGCTCAGATTGCACAAACCCTATGCTGCTGCCCTGGGGGTGCATGAACCCCTCCAGCCTGGGGCATTCGGATGTATGCTGCTGTTTGGCAAAGGGAAAAAATGATATGGACCATTCCTGGGAGCTAGTGGCCCAAAAACCCACAGGAGCGAGCTTGGAAAAGAAGTGATGTGCTGGGAAGGGGAGAAGAGAGGAGGAGCCCAGGCTGCAGTGCCCATCCACAGCCGCCGTCTGACAGGGAGAGTCTCTTCCCCACACTGGGGCCCAGCAGTGACCTTCGGGCTGGGGGCCAAGGGAAATGCAGCCTGCAGAGTCTCCCAAAACCTTCCCAAAACGATGGGAAAAGAGACGCCCTGGGCGCCCTTGGGTTGCCAGGGCATTGCATGGTGCCAGCCGGCGCATGGCATTGGGCTGCGCTCCAGACAAAAGGTGGCCGGGTGGACTGCTGGTGTGGGTAGATGCTTTTATTTAAATCTCTCTCTTTGTCCCTTTGAGATGAGCAAACAAACCCACTGCTCATCCTCGCAAAGGTCATCGGAGGCGTTCCTGCTTTTGTTTTGAAAGCTGGATTGATGCCGGGGTGCATATCCCTCAAAGGAGGGACAGGGGGGTGCCAGGGAAAAGTAGAAAGGAAAATTAAAAATTGAAAGCAATTAATACCACACCTTCCTACCACTAAATAAACAGGGGGGAACCCCCCACCCCACCCCCCCCCGCCCCGGCCGTGCCTCCTCTCCCCAGTGCGAACTCCCCGCACCGCCCCGTACCCTGCACGCTGATGAAATGGAAAGTTGACCATAAATCAATGTCGGCGGCTGCGTTAGCTATGCATCAGCGGCTCGGTGCCGAGATGCACCAAAACAAAGCGCCGGCTGCTCGGTGTTCCCACACTGCCCCCTAATGCAGAGAGACCTCAGGAGCCAGGGAGGACAGGGGGCTCCAGAGCCCGGGGGGCTCCCCCCAACACCCCCTCCCCTCCCCGCCTCTCCTCCCTGCATCCTGGGGTGCGTCTCTTTGGGCAAGGTCGCCCACAGGGGTGAGGATGGTAAAGTCAGGGGCAATAGGAAGGGGTCCATGTTGTCCTGCTCCCTCCTTGGTTACCACCATTTTCCCCCTGCTCAGCTGTCCTGGCGTCTCAGTGGGATTTGGCACCGCTCCGCGGGTGCCACCAGCTATGGTCAACCAGCTCCAGCAAGGTGGCACAAGAGCCGCAAACCAGGCTGCCCTTCCTGAAATCCTGGGGCAGAGCTCGGTGTCAGCCTTGCACCAGGCAGGGTTTGAAGGAAGGTGGCTTACGAGCTGGAGGAAAGGAAAAGCAAGCATCGGAGAAAGTTTTTTTTCTGGAAGTTCAGTAGGATGCCCGAGGCTTTTGTACCGAGTGTCTGGAGCATATGGTGGGATTTGCAGTCAACTTTCTCTTGGGTGCTCCAGCCAGATGGAGGTGACTGTTCTTGGCTCCAGCTGACACGGGTTTGTTTCCTGAAGAGCTTGTGTTTAACATATTCCTTAAAACCAGGCTTCTACAGTTGGGAGCCCCAGCTGCAGGCGAGGCAGAGCTCCTGCCCACGGCTGCCTTCCACCGTCTGCGGAGGAACTTGGCCCGCCTTGCCCTGCCGCGCCTTGCCTCGCCTTGCCTTGCCTTGCCTTGCCTTGCCCTGCCTTGCCCTGCCTTGCCCTGCCTTGCCTTACCTTGCCTTGCCTTACCCTCTCTCGGGTAGGTGCGGTTGAGTCCTCACCTGGCACCACGTGCTGGAAGGCGGCCGTGGTCCTCCTCTCCGAGGGCACCTGGAGCATCTCTCCTAAAGGCTCCTTCAGGGATATCTTTTTTTTGTTGTTGACAACTTGCAAAACTTCCCTCTCCTTTGGTAGGAATAAAGTTCCTATGCAATAAACCCAGGCAGGTCTTTAATTAATATCCATCTAATTTATTTTAGTATTTTCTAATGTCAAAACCAGTAGGCAGGGGCAGGTATTTTAAAACACAAGATGCCTTCCTATTGCTAACTCTAAATTGTCGGTATCTTGTGGCAGCGATGCTTTGCCTTCTCGTACCATCCTGCATTGTTCTGCCACCCCCAGAGGTGCTTGAAAATGTTTTTAAATAGAAAAACTCCCCCATTAGCTGAAAGTATGTAGCCCATAAAACGTGATCCATTTGTGGTGAATTATGCTGGAAACATAAATTGACACACGCAGAGCTATGATCGCTCATGCCATTTTCCATCTTTAATATTTTACAAGAAGTTTGAGGAGTCGAGCTTGTGAAAGACGGAGTGGAAATAACCTGATCGCCTGGAAACTCCCCTTAGAAAGCAGCGGCAGCAGCACACTTCAGTCGTATGATGGGCCAGGTTGGGCTTTTAAAGTCCCCGTAGTGTAGAGGGGGGGGAAAAATGAAGCAGAGAGGAGGTTGGGGCAACAAGAGCTGTCGGAAACAGTTTCCTCTAATGCCATTTTAGCTGTTTGGGGTTGTTTGTTGGGGGTTTTTTTGAGGCAGCTACAGGAAGGTGAAGAGTTTCTTCCCATGCAAGGCATCCAGTTTGAAAAAAAAAAAAAAAAGAAAAAATGAGAACTTGAGAGATGATGGGATTTCTCTGGTTGGGGAGAGTGCTGGTCTTGAGATGAGAGTGAATTAACTGCAGAGCAGGTCCTGCTCGCCCGGCACAGCGTGTCGGATGGAGCTCTGCTGAGGGGATGGAGCGCTTGGGCATTTGGGATCTGGAGGGAGGTGGTGCAGAGGAAGCAGGACTGTGCGTGCGTTCAGCCTCCTCTTGTAACAGCACTAGTTAATAACTGCTAAATACACATTTTTTAAGAAAACAGTGTTGTTCTGTTGGTTGGAGCCCACATGTCATCTCTGCAGAACACTTGTCTTAACCACCGTGATCCATCGGGATCATCTGCTGCTTCCTCTGCAGTGAGGGAAACCCATGCGAAAAAGCAACCAATCCGGCAGGCGTTCCCGGCCAAACACAGGTCCCAGCCCTGAAACATCTGAAAATATTTACGGAGATAACAATATCCAGAGGGCCTGTGTTTCTGACAGAGCAGCGTGGCCGTGCCGCGGGGGCGTGGGAGGGGGCTGCGGCGGTTGCAGCCCGGAGCGAGCATTTCAATGCTGCTGCTTGTTGCTGTTGTGAAAAAGAAGAAAAGAATGAAGAAAAATAGAAAAAAGCCCCTTTCAGCTCCTCCCTGCCTGCTGAGACGTTTGCACGAGCTGGGCGTCTGCAGTCACATTGTCCAGAAGTCTCTGCCGGGAGCGGTACCACGTGGGATAACGCGACGGCGAGGATGCTGCTCGCTGACCGGCAAAGCGCGGCGCTGAGCCTGGAGAATCCCGGGGAGCAGCCTTGGGGCAGCAGGGCAGGACCGCACTCCAGAGGATGCATTTCAGCAGCACAAACAACTGATGCTCTCCGGATCCAATTGCCGCGGGGGATTTTTCTGCAGTGAAAATGCCACCCTGTCTTTTATAGATGCTTTTTCTACAATAACTAAATGCTGCTTGCTCTGAAGACTTTAAATGCAGCCGCAAAGCCTCACCTCTGGGCCCAGCCGGGGTGCGTGTAGGTGGACATGTCCCCGTGCATTCGATACCTGGTAACCCCACACCCTCACACGCCGGGGATACGAGAAGGAGGACGTCAGGGGTTTAATAACTTCGGGATGGGGTCTGCGTGCCTGTCCAGTCAGTACCTGGATAGTGACCTCTTCCTTGCGGCGCAGCAAGGCAGGCATTGTGGAGGACCTGTTGACTTTTGCGTTGATGGGACTTGAGGGTTGGCCTCTGCGAGTCCTGGTTTGTCCTTTCCACTTGGTTTCATTGCTCGTTCACCTTTGCCAATCTTCCCTACCCCAAATCCTGCAGCTGTGACGTGTAGAAAGGGCTTTGATGGTGGCCAGACCTCGTTGAGGGGTGCTGTCCTCCATGAACCAGTGATGGGAGGTGGCTGCTGCCCCTGGTGCGGTTTGCATTCACAAACTTCAGAAGCAAAAAATAAGTCAAGTTTCATGCATGGAGATGACTTCTGCTAGAGGTGGTCGATGCTACAGTTGGACCACAGAGGTTTGTCTTCTCCACTGTGGTGGGACGTGGATGGAGAAGGCAGTTGCGTTGGCACTGGGAGGGTTGTCCTGAGGTGCTGTGACCTCTTCCAGCCAAGGTTCACCGGGCAGGAGGGGCAGGGGCTGCTTGCCTTTAGCTCCTGGAGAATAAATGGTGGTGTAAATGGTGGGACTTCACTTCCCCGGGCGCAGCGGCTGGAGCGGGGAGGCTGGCAGGAGGCTGTTGGTTTAAATCCGCTTGGCTCCATCTCGCCGCCGAACTGTTCAAATAAAAAAAAAAAGAGGAAAAAAACCCACCCTCTTACTTTATTTACATTGCACTCAAGTTTCCGCCGTACAAAAGATTTGCAGGTGCAAATATGTCCTGCCTTCATTAACTTCCCCTCCCTTTTTAATTTATGTGATTTCAATTTTCCTTCCCTGTACTGTTAATTAGGGGACCCTCTAATCAGTACCATTATCACAGTGGTATTCATGTTTAGGAAAGCTGCTAAACAAATGCTTGCAAAATTGCTAAATGGCTAATTAATGTCTGTTAATTAAGAAAATTGCTCATGGTAACAAACCATGCCATTGCTGGCAGCAGCTAGAAGGCGAACACTTGTTGAAATTAGTAACGAGGCAGGTAGAGAACATCTGCTCCGGCGCCGGTCCTGGAGCCTGCCGTCGCTTCCCATCACCTACTGACAAAGCTCGTTTGCTTTCTCTACCAATTACACCTCCTTTGACTCAAAAAATACTTTTTTTTTTTCCCTTACATTAACACGCACCGGTATATTCTTGCACCGAGCTCGTGGTTTTTCCAAGCAAATTTTCATTTCGTGCTTTTAAGGGAAATTTAAAGAAAAAAAAAAAAGTGGGCGTTCAAGCCCAAAATGTCAGCGGCTGCTGCATTGCAGCCTTAAACCTGCACCAACTAATCTCTCCTTTTTTCCCCTAGACATCCTTTCTTTGCTCGCAAGCCATTTTTCTCGCATCCTTAGGGAATCCACCTCGAGGAAGGATGTTGCATCCACACAGGCTGGCGATGCAGCCCTGGTTGTGCCGGCCAAACGCTGCCCAGGCGCAAGCTGGGACGTGCTCCTCGTCCTCTGCGCTTGCTCCAGCACCTCCAGTGAACCACGGTCAAAAAAACCCCAGAGGTGTTTCCAACCTTTGGGATAAGAGAGGAAAAAGTGACAGTTTTTTTGGTTTGGGGGTGTTTTTTGTATTTCCCCCAACCTCTCTGGTCCTCTCCTGCGTATTTTTTCTTCTTTGTTGCACGCCCTTGCAAGATGTTTCCCTGTGTGTTTATCATTGCAGACTTGGTTGAACTACCGGACCGTTTACCGTCAATGTGGCTGCTGTATTTTGACAGATGTTCTGATTTTTAATTTTTTTTTTTCATATATCATTATTCATTGTTCAGCTACAAATGAATAAAAACTCAATTAAAAAGAGGAAAAAAAGAAAAAAAATTTAAAACGGGAGAACTGACTCCCCGACGAAACAGGTCCACCCGTCAATCCTTTTTTTAGCTCTTTCTGCGCTTTCATGTGCTAATCTATAACCTCCTTCTACTGTCTGACCTCACCGGGACCGCCTGGGTCACAGCCCTCGCCACACGCACAGCCTCCACCCCACAATCCTAACAGCATGATGGGACCCCACAGTCAGGTAAAGACACTAGCGATGGGTAGGGCTGTGAACCGGGACGTGCGCTCGATTTGCTTTTTTTTTTTCCCCTCTAAGCATGCTGGGCAGCGGGTACCCGCTCCCCCGGGGAGCATCCCCCCGGGCACCCCAGCTCCGAAGCGAAATACTGTTTTTTTCGCCTTTTTTTTTCTTTTTTTTTTTTGGATGTGCAGTTGTCAATGGACTGAGAAGTCAATCGTGGGTATCAGACTGTTTTACCTTCCCAAGGTAGCCTGAGAAATTTAACTTGATGTGGGTTTTTAAGCTTCTGTTAGTAGCAGCAGTTGTAAAAAAGTAACTTTAAGTCTTTCTTCTTTTTTTTCAGTACTTAGCATTGGGGGTTTTTTTGTGTGTGCGTGTCTGTATGTGCTTATTTGCCACTTTTTTTAATATATCTCTATATATTTAAACTTGAACAGTATCTAACACTCAGGGTTTCCCATGCACTAATTTTAACAGCCTCACCTAGTATTGCCGATGTCAAACGCTCTCAAACAATAAATCTACAGAGAAAATGTTTAAAAAATGGACTCCGGACACTTTTTTTTTTTCTTTTGAAACTTAACTTTTTTAAAAAGGATGTCTCCAGAAAAAAAAACCAAAAACAGTGTGTACAGTCTAACCGGCGTGCGTGGGGAGCGTGCTGTGTCCTCGCAGCTCGGCCCTGACCTCCCTTTTATGTCCCCACAGCCGTTCATGTCGCCGCGCTACGCCGGAGGTCCCCGGCCCCCCATCAGGATGGGCAATCAGGTACTGCGCTCCCGGGCCCTGTACCGGCGGGTTTCCTGGGGATGGCTTTTATTTGGGGAGGGGGGCAAGGGCCACATGTCCTGCAGATGCTCCTTGGATTTGGATGGGAGGCATCTCCTCCCTTGGGCATCCTCCATTTTCTTGGTGCTGGAGCATCAAGTGTCACATAACCATTTTATTTTAATTTTTTTTTGAGGTTCGGGCATATCCAGGGTGTAAACGGCGGGGGGGGGTGTGCCGCTTTTTATTTGTGATGTTTCCAGCATGGCCATGCCGTGCCGCAAGCTCACTGCCCGGGTGGATTTTCCCTGCAATCGCAGAAAATTAAAGTGATGGAGATAATCCTGCTGCTGGGTTGACCGAGCGCTTAGATCAGAGGCAGGGTCAAGCGGGGCAGGTCACTGCTGAATTTTTTGGGTTGGGTTTATCCTCTTATCCCAGCTTAAACAAGGGCAGTTTGTTTCTGGCCTTACGGACGGAAGCTTCCACCCCACGCGTTGCCTGAATGCATGACCTTTGGTTGAGGAATTCATCTCATTCCCAATGATGCCGTGCAGATCCATAGGGTAATGACCAAACCAGAGGTCACTTTCCATTAAAGGGAAATTAAAGGAAACCTGTAATTCCCTTGAGTAGCAAAGGTGACTATGCAAAAATTATCTTGGGAGCTTGATTTTTGGCTAACTATTATTTTTATATAGCTCTTACTAGCAGAAAGAGCAGAATAGTCAGGAAATAGGATGTGGCAGCTTGCTTCATGTTTGTGCTTGCTGGATTTGAGACTTGAATCACTGGAACTTGCAAAACGATGGTGAGACAGCTGAGATGTAGCTGAGAAAAACTCAGGGGGGGCTGATGTAGGACCCCCAAGCCCAGCTGGGCTGGAATAGCCTCCCACCCAGGGCACCGGTGGCTGGTTTAGCGAGGTATTAATTAATGGCACCTTCTCCCAGGACAGTTTTAATGGGCCCTTGTCCTGCTGTGGTACCCAGGCTGGTCCCGGCATGGCTGGAGGTGAGCACGGTGAGCTGGGGCAGGCAGGAGAGGCAGGGGACCGATTTGGGGTGGCTGCTCTTGCAGGGGGGTCAAGCATCCAGGAGTGGGTAAAGTTAATTAGAAAGATTTAATTTTTTTCCCCACAAACACCACATATAAGACACAGGTTTGTACCTACCCAGAGCTCGGCGAGGTTATGGTCACATCCAGAGGGACAAGAGGAATAAATAGGCAGGCAGGAGGGTCAGGCAGCAGAAGTGTAAATATCCATCACTACAACCCCCCTGGTTTATCTTCCTCCTGCTGCCAGCTTCCAAGCTGCAAAAAAATTGGGACTGGGCAGATTCTGCCTCTGCGCGGCCGTGCACACCCAGTGCCTATGCTGTGCTCCAGCAGTGGGATCTGTCTGTGTCGGTATTTAAATAAAAGGCAGTGCTGTAGCAAAACTGTTTACAGTTTGCTTTCCCCAGGCAGATGGTATCTGCGTTTTTCTCCCCCTTTATCTGTTCGGAGCAGCCTTTGAACTTTAAATAGCCACGTTGCCGGAGCAGAGCTGGGTTTGGGGAGGGGAGCATCCGCCTTCCCCTCCTGCCTGCGTGGGGACAGGTCTGAATGCTGGTCTGCTGCAAATGGAGCATCTCCCCGTCGGCAGCCGATGAATCGCTGCAACCTGTACAGTTTGGCCCTGGCGCTGTGTCAATACAGGGGAGCCACGCTGCCTGTCTCCTTTCCCTGCCGGCTTTGACGCCTCTGCCCCGTGCAGCCCAGGCTTTTCCCCCCTCCCCTAAAATACGGCAGCCTGATGGTGCGCAGGCTACGGGGAGAGGAGGAAACGCTGGCACCTTGTTTGGTTTTTAGAGGGTGTTTGCAAAAGGAAAGGGGAGGCAAATGCCTGGAGGCTGTAGGAAGATGCCCGGGATGCGGGATGCAGCAGGATGTGGGATGCTTGGGCAGCTGCAGGTCATGCTGTGGCAGGAGGGGTGGTGCATCCTGGGGGGCACACTGGGGAGCCCCCTGAAAGCTTAAAGCCTCAATCCAAATCTATTTCTGTAGGCTGAATTTTAGCAATCATTTTTCTTTTTTATCTTCCTCCCCTTGTTTTCACAGCCCCCAGGCGCCGTTCCCGGTACACAGCCGTTGCTGCCCAATTCGATGGATCCCACACGACAGCAAGGTAAACCCGGCAGAGGAGGGTTGAACGTTAATGTTTCTTGTTAGCTGTTAATTTGGGACCCAAAGTGGTTGCTGTGCCGTGTAACGCCCCTGCTTTCCTCCCAATAGGGCACCCTAACATGGGCGGCCCCATGCAAAGGATGAATCCTCCACGAGGGATGGGCCCCATGGGTCCCGGTCCGCAGGTAAGCCCAGCGCCAAAGAGCATCTTATGGCTCGGCAAACGCTGTGCACCATCGAAACAACCTCCTGGGGCTCAAAAGGCTGGGAGTTCCCCTCCCACACTCTGTCCCCCCATTAGTGTTAATGCGTTTTACATTAGTCTTGCATCTGGAAATCCCTCCTTTTAACATGAGTGAGGTCTTCAGAGCTCATTAAGGGTATTGCAACCTCCCTTCTGCCCTTCCGTCAAAGGGGATGGCACTTAGCGCTGTGCTGGAGCAGCCTTTGAGTGCATTACACTGCCTGCCTGGGAAATAGTTACGACCCTAACAGCAGGAAGGGGAAAGGAGGCTTGCATTAAAAATAAATAAATAAAAAGAAATGGCAAAGATCCCTTTAGCAGGGGAATAAGGCTTTCCTCTGCGAGGTTCCCCTCCACCTGCCCTTCCTGCTGCCTGCTTCAGCTCTCTATTTCAGGAAAGGGGAGTAAACTCTTGAAATTAAGCAGATCTGGGTTAATATATGCTGTCTTTCCATTGATTCACTTTATGGAGTGGCTTGTTGTTGACTCACTCCTGTTTGTTCCTGCTACGAGACTTCAAAACCAGATTACCATATTTTGGTTGGAGGTTTATCCTCTCTGCATCGTCGCCTACGTCGAGTTTGTAGCGCAAGGATCAGAGTCTGTCAAGAGACGAGCGGGTGCGCTGGAGTTTTATTTTGTTTTTTCCCCAGAGACTGTTGAGATAAGTGAACATTGTGTAAAGAGGGAGTTGTGTCATATCTTTTTAACACCAGCCTGAGGATGCTGCTCAGGGATGCCTGGCCGTCTCTGCAGGCAGCCAGATCCATCCTAGGGCAGGGGATAAAAAACCTGCACGAGCATCGTTTCACGGACAAGCCCTCTGATAGCACCACTGCTCTGCTTAAAATCCTCCTTTCCTGGAGGATTGCACCCAAAAAAAATGGCATTTGTTAGCGTGGCCTGCGCCAAGGAGAGCGGCGGTTTGCCTGGGGGAGGCTGCTCGCTTCCCACTTGCAAAGCTCGCAGCGAAACTTGGAAGCCACAAGCGCGCGTTCAGCGCTGCGTGGGATGGCGGCGGCTCTGGGAGCCGGCAGGAGTTGTGAAATGTTCAGAGCTTTATTTTTGACTCTGCTGTTCCCTGTGTACGTACATTAGGGAGAGGCTTTTTAAAAGGCAGCCTTCCCCTGGGGAAGTGCTGGGCTTCCCAATCTGGCACCCACGGGGCGCTGCCTCCCCGCAGCCATCCAGGAACAAGCACAGGCAACCACCAAAAATACCGAACCAAACCCAGCAGCCCCTCACACAGGCATTAGGACCTTCCCAAATACTCCTGAAATTATCCCAAAGGGCTGCAGAGCATCCAGCCAGGACATCCCAGCATCCTGACAACAGCTACTTATTATGCACTGACGATGAATCATCCCTTACAGCTGATCGCCGCTGCCTTTTTCCCTTTAATAGTCGCAGTTTTAGCTCTGCAGAGGCCAGGATTAGATTTGCTGGTGCCTCTATGAAGAGGGTTTGTAGCTCGCTGGGTTTTGGCGGTGTCTTGCCAGAGCCCGGCATCCAGGTCGCTCAGCACAGCTGCGTTCCCTCCCCACCCTCCCTGAGCATCTTTCAGATGGCTTCGTTTTCCAGCCTTTCAGCTCCAATTAAAAACGCTGAGCTTTTATTTTTTTTTTTTAAACAAGGGGTTTGATGCTGCTATTCAGTGTAAATGGCTGGAATTTCGATCAATTAAGGACTTGCCGGTAATTTGTTTGGGGAAAACCCTTTTCTGCCTCTTCAAAACAAACTTTGGCGATGCCCTCAGCAGAGCACCATGCTCCGGTGCATCCATAAATCCAGGGAAAAATAGACGGCACTGAGGTATTGCACTTAAAATCCAGCTTGGAGTGCTCCAAGGGGCTGCGAAATAGGAAGCGGCCAGCCGTTCCCCCTCCTGCCTAGCAATTTTTTCTCTAATACAGCCCAAAAAGATGCATCGCGGGGGGAAGGTGGGAGGGGAGGAGCAGCAGCACGACCTAAATCCAGCTGCACATTGCCCGGAGGGCGCAGGGAGCAAAGCGCAGACCAAATGGAGCGCGGCATTCAGGGGATTCCTCTTCCTTCGCTGCCTTGGGCTTGGCTTTGTACTAGAGCTGGTTTTAGGAGATGAGGGATGCAGATCTGAGGCTCTCGGTCCCGGCTGGAGGCTAAGCCGGGGTAGAATAAGCCAGGAGAGGAGCCCCAAGGGGCTGCCTGCCCTCGTCTGCTCCCTGCGGCTGCAGACCCATTCCGGGGGAGTAGCAGAGAGCTGGGAAGCGACAGGAAAACAAGCCTGGCTTGGTTTTCCCTACTCCAGCCGTCATCCTGGGAGCAGGGGATGCTCTGTCTCAGGGGCAGCTCGTGCAGCCTTTTCCCGTCCTTAACGCTGCAGCAATAACCTTCCAAGCGACGCCACCTTTTCTCCTCCTGCCCCTGTTTTCTCCTGCACAAAAAGACAAACCCAAAAGGCTGTTGTTGGCACCTGGGGGCTGTGAGCAGATTTGTCTCCTGGAGCTGGGAGGGGGCTGTTTGGCCTTCACCAGCATGGCATCAGAGACTGGGGGGGCAACTTTGGGGCTCAGCCTGGCTCCCTTCCATATTCAGCTGCCTGTTCTTTTTATAAACACAATTGCTAGTTGCCTCTACATTCATCATCATGTAATATTATTTTTTAAAGCTCATTTTTGCAAACTAACCCTCTTATTTTGTTTGTTTGTTGGGTTTTCTTTCCCTTGTCTTGTCTTCTCCGGTTTCCCCTCCCGTTATGGTAGACTGACCCTTGGTTATCGTTGCAGAACTACGGCAGTGGCATGAGACCTCCACCCAACTCCTTAGGTCCCGGCATGCCTGGAATTAACATGTAAGACAAACCCCATGCTGGGGATGTTTGGCCGCTGGCTCGGGCTTTGCAGGACCGTATGGATAACAACATTTTATTTTTTTTTCCTGTTTAATTTTGACTCCAGGGGGCCAGGAGCTGGCAGACCATGGCCGAACCCCAGCAGTGCTAACTCAGTGAGTATCCCGTGGTCCTTGAAGCAAAAGCGGGGCTGGTCGGGAACCATCCCACAAATGAGGCTGTTCCCCGTTAGCTGAATCCTGCTAACGAGAGGGGGTTCCCCAGCCTCTTGTTTAGGCGCTGCATCTGAAGCCTAAGCCCTGCTCCTGTGCTGCTCTCCCTATGGTGGGGTGCAGCTGTGGGGGCTGGTGGGCCCTGGGACCCCCATCCTCGCTGGGCTGGGGGGGCAGTGGGGAGTCTCGGCTGTGCCCTGCTGGGGTCCAGCCTGCGGGAGCCCCCGTGCACTCTGTGGCTGAACCTTGGGTCCAGCCTGCGGGAGCCCCCGTGCACCCTGTGGCTGAACCCGGCTCTCATCTCTCTATAGATCCCATACTCTTCTTCATCACCTGGTACATACGTGGTGAGTCCTGCTGCATCTGTCCATCCTGTCATCGGGGTGTGGAGATGTTATGGCTCGGGGAGCTCATGCGGTTTGGGGAATTGGTGCTGGGGGGCGGGGGGCTAGGCTGGGTTTGGGGGTGCGAGGTCCAGCTGGGGGAGGCATTTGAAAACGTGGGGAGGTGGGCGATGCTCATGTTTGTGTGGCTGACCCCTGCTTCGTCTCTCTGCAGGGTCCGCCTGGCGGCGGCGGTCCTCCGGGGACACCCATCATGCCCAGTCCCGCAGGTATGAGACCCCCCCCTCTCCAGGGCCAGTCTTCCCGGGCTCCTGCCCCTTCCCCTGCCAGGAGACCCCCATACCTGGGGCTGTGCCACCGAGCACAGGCAACGCCTGCCCGACCGGCGATAACCAATTTATGTAGCTTTTGCCTTTCTGGGGAGCGAGCGGCATGGGCTGCTTGGCTTCGGGATGGCATTTGGGGATGTTCCTGTGTCCCCCTATGGATTTGGATGCTGTGGGGCTTGGGGAGGTGGGGAGGTGAAGAGTGCTACATGGTGGAGAATTACCTCCCCGTGCTTCCCAGCCAGGAGTTGAATTATTTTTCACAGTTGAATTTCTGTGATTAAAAACTTTGTGGATCTTCATTAAATACAAATTAGCCAGAAAATGGTGGTACTTAGAGGGAATTTTAGGTGATAAAATACAAAAGAATGAGTTCAAGTGGCATGAGTTTGTTTTAATTAAGAAATGAATTAATCACCCGACTTACTGGGCTTCACTGTTCCACAGATTCAACAAATTCAAGTGACAACATCTACACAATGATTAATCCAGTACCGCCCGCAGGCAGTCGATCGAATGTAAGTCTGCTTTCTAATAATTTACATATCAGATACCATAACAAATCATAATTAACTTCATCAGTTGAGAGTAAAGCAGTTTAATTGATTTCAGCCATTTGTTACAAAACAGAAATAAAACAAACCATAAAAAAGCGATTAACTCTTCAGTGACTTTGTTAATTTTTTATGCTTATTAAGAGAGCGGCGGTCCTGCTGCTCCGGCCGAGGTGGTGGCAGCTGCATGCCCGGCGAGATGCTGTGTTTTGCAGGATACGGGCAGACTTAAATCTCATTAAATGCTGGTTGGAGGGAGCCCTCTGTGCTGCCATGGGTCTGGGTCTGCCCGTACCCATCTGGCCAAATTTTGTAGGTGAAACGGGACCACGAGCCCCCAGACGTGCCCCACAGCCTCAGGGGTGGATACGTTCCTCCTCTCGCCCCGCTCCGGAGGGATGGCTGGGGAGAGGACAGTCCCCAGGAACCGCAGGGACTGTGGCAGACGTGCGGGGTGGTTTTGTGGCTGATTTTGGTTTTGTTGCCTTTTTCTTCCGCAGTTCCCAATGGGCCCCGGCTCCGACGGCCCCATGGGCGGCATGGGTGGCATGGAGCCCCATCACATGAACGGATCGTTAGGTGAGCGCCCACGTGGGGGGCTGTGGCTCAGGGAGCCCGGCTGTGCCTTCGCTCCCCAGGGATGCTGGCAGAACATCCCAGTGCCTGCTCCCATCCCAGGGTCAGCCCCCAGTTTGGACCAGTGGGGGCCATCGCTGCATGCTTAATAAGGCTGTTCTCCTTTTGTGTCCCCCCCTGTGCAGGGTCAGGAGACATAGATGGACTTCCAAAAGTAAGTGAGTTGCAGAGCGGGTGTGTGGGCCCCCCTTTTCTTGGCACTGGGGTGCCGGTGTGACCCCAATGGATGGGGACACGTCAGGGGGACACGACTGAGGCAGGCGGGGCTGCGTCCTGCCCCCACGGCGTTTTGGGGGGCGCAGGGACCTGCTCACTGCCTCCCCCCCATCTCCCGCAGAATTCTCCAAACAACATAAGTGGCATTAGCAATCCCCCGGGCACTCCAAGAGACGACGGGGAGCTGGGAGGCAACTTTCTCCATTCCTTCCAAAATGACAATGTGAGTGAGTGCCTCCCTGGGGACGGGGGGATGGTCCCCAGGGCATCCCAGCACGGCGGCGGGTAGGCTTGGCGGTGGGTGCCTTTTGGAGCTGGGTTGTGCCATGTGTGAGCTGCTCCGGGACAGAAAGTGGGGAGGAAGAAATATGCTGGTGGGTGCAAGCTTGGGTCCTCGGCGGGGTGTACTGAGGGAGGGGAGAGGGTCCTGCTGGATGGAGAAGAGCAGGCACGGATGCAGCCAGCTGTGCTGGCCTCGCCGATTCAAGGCTCTGTGCGTGGCTGCAGACATTCCTCCTCGTCCTCTATTAGCAGCATATACACGCGTGCATGTTAATTATTTGTTTTAAATTGCATCTCACCCCATACTGTTCTGCTGATTTTCTCCCTGGAAAAGCAAGTTACAGAGCAGATTACGCCCTGATAAATTCGAGTCTCCAGCATATCCTCTCCTCCTGATTTATTAGATCCAATTAGGTTGCTGTATAGTTGTCATCAGCCTCCTTTTGCATCCCCCTTCAGTGTCTGGGGGTCTGGCCTGCCTGGTTTCTCACCCTGGCTCTGTCTCTCTTCCAGTATTCCCCCAGCATGACGATGAGTGTGTGATTTCCCTCCCCCTCCTCCTCTCCAGGATCAAGAGAGTCAGCTGCCGTTCAGAGGATCTCAACGAATTATGCAAGAAGAAGAAGAAGAAGAAGCTAGGTGTATGGGCAGGGAGACGCGTGGCGGGGGCCAAAACCCCAGGTTTAGTTTCATGCAATAAAAAGGCTGAACTTTTTATTCCATAAAACATGAAGGACAAAACTTAAAATATTTCAAGACATGACAAGACCCTTCTTTGTGCAGAAGGGTTTATATATGTACATGACACTTCTTTTTGGAAACAAACGGAAGCCTCTAGCACCCAACTCCGATCTCTTTGCTTTGTTCTTTTAAATAAAGACAGAAACCGAACCTGTTGTATGTTTGTGCCGTGCGACACCAGGAAGCTAGTCTAGATATGAAATCTCATGTTGTCTCTGTTGTAGTCATTTTTTTAAATAAACTGGACAGTTTACAATGGTGGTTTTCGTTCAGAAGGCCTGTTTTTTTTTTGGTTTTGGGGGTTTTTTTCCCTTCTCTTTTTGGGGGTTTTTTTCCCTTCTCTTTTTGGGGGTTTTTTTCCCTTCTCTTTTTGGGGGTTTTTTTCCCTTCTATTTTTGGGGGTTTTTTTCCCTTCTATTTTTGGGGGTTTTTTTCCCTTCTCTTTTTGGGGGTTTTTTTCCCTTCTCTTTTTGGGGGTTTTTTTCCCTTCTCTTTTTGGGGGTTTTTTTCCCTTCTCTTTTTGGGGGTTTTTTTCCCTTCTCTTTTTGGGGGTTTTTTTCCCTTCTATTTTTGGGGGTTTTTTTCCCTTCTATTTTTGGGGGTTTTTTGGTTCGTTTGCAGCACAACGCTTCCTCCTCCAGTTAACAAGATCTGCTTTGGGGAAGAGACTCCACCACCTCGTTATAAACTTGTTAACGCAGGTGACCCCTTCTAGGATCACATCCTCGAATGAATCGTGATCTTGCTCTCTGTGACTGTGGCATGCACTGTGTTAGTCTTTCCCCCCCTCTCTGAGTACAAGAAGAAATCTCTGTCCTTCCTTTCCCCAGAGTCCTTCAGCTGGTTCACTGCAAAAATTGATTTTTTTAATATTTTTTTTTTAAATCCACCGAAAGAAAGGGTTAATCTGACCTGGAACTTTGAAACTGTGATCTCCAGCTAACTTTGGGGTTTTTTTGGGGGTTTTATTTGCTTTGGGGGTATTTGGGGGGGGGGGTTCTTTTCTTTAGAGATGTGCTCTTGTCAGGGTTTCACTTACCTATGATTTGGAACTGGATGGAGATATTTTTTAAGGAATTCTTGTTGTTAAAATGTAACCTTGCTATTCTGTAGGCTCACTCTGTAATAAGAAAATAAAGATTAATGGCAAGCATCGAAGGCCCTTCCTTCTGGTGGGAGAGGAAGGGACGAGCCAAGGCGGCGGGTTGGGATCTCTGTACATGACACTACCCTGTAGTTTGGTCTTTGTTTTTCTCCAGCTCCCATTTCTGCTCCATGTATATCATATTCTGTAAAATATCCTCTCCCTTGGATTTGACCTTTGTGCGGATTATTGAAAGCATTGTATCTTGTTTCAGTGTTTTTTCTTACCTTGTAGTCTGGTTTGAAAATACCGAGAGGGGGGGGGAAAAAAAATAATTATTATACATTGTAGTTTGTGTACGATATTTGTTGATAATGTTTTATTAAAGGGATGTCTTTTTTCCGCACCCCTTCATTGAAATGTTTTTGGGGAACATTTGGCTTGTTTTTATTATTCTGACTGCAAGACATGAGATGACAAAACTTTTTTTTTAGTGTGTAATACGATTTATTTTTTTTAAATGTTTGCCTTCTTTTTCCTAGGCATTTTAATTGTGCTTTACCTGTAGAAAGTCGCTGGGGAGGGAGGGACGGGTGGGATGGGGGGGTCTGAGGGTGTCAGTCTCATAGTTACAGTCAGGTTAATATTTTCCAAGTAACTAACTCTGAGAAATAACTGAATGCAGATTTGTTGCATTGCAAATATACCCGGGGGCTCCCCGAGGGGTCAACTTTTTTTCCTTTTCCATTTTGCATCTTGGCGTTTTTTTTTCCTTTTTTTTTTTTTTTTTTTTTTTTGTTCTGACGTGAGGAAATGAAAGGACCGGTTTTAATGTATTTTAAAATGAATAGCTAAATTATTGTCTTAATTGGTATGGGATGGTTTTTTGAATGAAACGGTTCTCCCCCCTTCTCCCCCCTCCCCCCATGCTGTAATAAATATCAACATAAACATTTGATTTCGGTGCTCTGCAGTTTGTTCCTGGAGTTTGCTGCCAGACCTGTGGGGGGGCGGGGGGGATAGATTTTTTCCTATCCTTATTTATCAAGGACCAAACCCTGGCTTTGGCAGGCAGAAGCAGGGGTCTTGTTTTATGGGTTGGGGGGTTTTTTTAAGCATTTTGAAAATTCAGCTTTTAGCTTAGGAAAACAGTCGTTCTTGCCTGCACCGGGCTGAGGATGCGCTGTGCCGGACCCTCCCCCTCCCTGCACCCAGCCTGCCTGGCTGCAGGCAGAGGGGGGCTTTCTGGGTCTAAAAAGGGGGAGATTTTTTTTTTTTTGCACCCTGTCCCCCAAGGTTTCCCCGTTAAGAGGCTGGAGGAGTTGGGATGCTGGTGTGGCGATGGGAGGATGGCATCCCATCCAGCAGGTTACAGATCAGGGATGCTCCAGGAGAGGAGCTGGGTCTTGCTACCTCCCGTTGCTGGAGTCCTGCACTGCTGGGAGGTAAGCAAGGGAGGGGAAGGGATGCAAGCATCACCTTCAAAAATATATATATATACACACATATATAGACTTGCAATGGGGTCTGCTGACCCCCTCCTCTGGCAGGCTGGCTGGTGCGTGCACAGTTGTAGGATCCAAGCCAGCTCCAGGCTCTGAACCAGCTGCTGAAGGTGGAGAAACCTGGGTGAGGCTGACCTGGTTCTCCGATGGGTGGCATCAGAGGCTGCTGCAGCACTTGGGGAAATATTGGGGCTTTTTAGGTCTTTAGATGGGTGGTTGCAAATGTTGGGTGCCTGAAATGCTCCCAGGAGCTGCTGTCTGAGCCTTGTTCTCTGCCTTTGACTAGTTCAGGCAGGATACGGCTGGCTGTGATTGTGCAGCTTCTCTCCTTCCTTGAGGGAACGTTCAAGTGTGGGCTGAGGGCTCAGGGGGCTGTAGGCTCAGGGGTCTGCAAGCCATCCTGGAGCTCTGCCGGTCCTGGGGGATGCTCCCACCCGGCACCGGCACCCTCAGCTATGTCACTGCTGCAATTCCAGGAGTGAGAGCCATGCGGTCACGGATGCTCATGGAGCAGAGGGGCGAAGGGGCGATGCGTTGGATGTCTGCTGGGTTTGGGAACCACCCAGAAAAATCATCACGCCTGCAGAGCCCATTAGCATGTAATTAATGCCAGGCCCGAGGAGCCGTGTGGTCGCACCCTTTGCTACCTGTGCAGGTTTGCCTCCGGGTTAATGCCACAGATGTCCTTGTGCGGGGTCTGCAGCTGTGCCCCGATGCGGTTTTTGGTCCAGGCAACAATATCCCCTCTGTGCTTTGCAGAAAGCAGCGTGCGAGCGTTGTCCATCATTTGGGAACATGACCCCCCAAGGGTAATTAGTTGACGCTGATGAGGACCTCCTGCCTTCCTGGCTCCCTGGGGCCATCCCTGCCCGTGCTGCCCATCCAGGCACCGCTCGGCTGCCTGGAGCAATGGGCAGCATTGCTGCCTGTTGTGTTTATTGCAGGGTGTAGAAAAGCCCTTCCTGTTGGTTCTTACCGGGTTACAGGCCAATTTTATTAAACACTGCCATGAGAAACTGCCAAGTTCCCTCCTCTAAACGTCTCCGGAGCCCAACCTTAGAGATAATTGTCTCCCACATTAGTTTTCATTAAATTAAATGCGGGAGGAGGATCTGAACAATCAGGGGCTCCAGTCTGAGCACTGCATGTACTTGCTGGCACGATGAGTGCAGCCCGTGGAGTCGGATTTTGCACCGGGAGCAGTTCAGGGGAAAGTAGTATGGAGTGGTGGAGCTGGGACAGCACATCATGCATCATCCCCAGGGCAGGCTGGGGGCCAGATCCTGCACCAGCAGCTGCAGAGCTCTCCTCTGGGCAGCCAGGCACCACCAGGTCTTCATCTCGGTCTCCAGCCACCCTGCTCTCGCATGTTCTGCTTCCCCTGGCTGCCGTTCATTAAAAGTTAATGCCTGGTTCTTGGTCCATGCTGAGGTAATGCTATTCATCTGCTGACAAGCCTTTATAATTTATTTATGCCAACCCAGATGTGCCTCTGTGACCCATTGTCCTGGTCTCAGACCTCCCTCCCTCAGCTGGGCTAATTCCAGCAGGTCACACTGGAGGAACAAGTGGGTGAATCACGTGTAGCGTGCTTGGGAAGACCAGCAGGACACCACACACACGTGCACGGCTGTCTGTGGTAGGGGGGCTGCTCTGCAGGGGCTGACTGGTTCACGGACCTCGTACCTGCACAATGACGGGCCAACCTGAGCATCCATCCCAGGTGCCAAGCTAGGAGCACTGCTCTGCCCCCCCTGAGTTCCCCTCCTGGACCTCAGAGGAGCTTACCCAGCACAAGGATCAGCTGCTCCTTCCAGCAACACATGAATACTGCTTCCCCCCTTACTGCAGGCGAGATCAGCTGTGCCCTGAGCAAACCAGGGACATGGTCTTGCATGCTTGTGTATGGTCCCCTCATCTCAAGAGGCTTCCTGATGCCTCTTGTGACCTGCTGAAGCCTCATTCCCTTGCTGACTATCCCATGCCTTACTGCTTCTGCCATTTTTCAAAACTGCCTTTGTTCTGCCTCTGTCCATCTCTCCCCATACTCATGCTTTGTCTCTGCTCAGTCTTGGAGACAGCAGGACTCCAGCTTCACTTAGTTTCTCCTCTCCTACTGCCTGTCCTAATAGAGATGTCTTTGTTGAGAGGTAAAGGCATCTAAAGGGACTTTGGCTCTTTCCATGTAGACCATCTTCACAGATTCCCACATCTACTAGAAGCGTGTGAGGTGTTTCATTTCTCCACACCCCCTCTCCACCACAGCCGCTCTTCTACCACGCTTCCTTAGTGAAACCTCTCTGCTCAGGAATGTTAACACAGCCGCTGGCTGCCCTACAGGGTTTCCTCCCGAAGACGTGTAATGACCCAAAGCTGGAAGGGTGAGGGGATGTTAATAGTCCGAGGGCTGTTGCCCAGAGCTGTTCAGCAGGGTCTGTGTGACATAGCAGATAGCCAACAGCCTAAGAAACACCTACCAGAACAGCCTCCACAGAGCACGAGTGTATTAAAATATATTCCTAAATAACTGGGTGCAAATTATAGATCTGAGCAGATTTAAATCGATGAGCTGAATTAGGCAACCCTGGAGCGGGCAGAATTAACATGATTTAGATTAATGCAATGCTTACCAGATTATTTCTCTTTCAAGCATTTTCTCCTAACTATTG